CGGCTATTCCATTAGCACATCCATTGAACGAAACGAAGAGCTGCCCAGTCTGTCTGAAAACAGACGACTGAAACACATAAGCTCTTAATGCCCTGACTAAGCAAAGGAAGCTTGCATCCTTTTCCTCATTGTAAACCGGTAGGGCAGACAGGGAAATAACCTGAGCCCTGAACGGTGTGTTGAGGGATTTAGGCACGTATCCGTGTCTTGGTTTGAGTATGACTTTCGAGTCATTTGGCCCAAATTCTATACATGTTGCACTGAGAGCGCTTATTAATCCCCGATGCGGTTCCCTGAAGCAACGATAGTTCCTACTATTATTATGGCAACTCGGAAGAATACGCCATGGTCAAATGAGGAAGTGCAGACTTTTCTTTGAGTTGTTGTCAAAGAGAAGATCACAACTGCTGATTGGTCAGAGAGAATCGTCATCATTCACTGCGTCATCATTGCACATGCCAGATTGAGTATCCAGAATAACGCCGCCATTTTTAAATAGTTTGGCCAGTGATAGTTACTACTATTATTATGGCAACTCGGAAGAATACACCGAGGTCAAACGAGGAAGTGCAGACTTTTGTTACCCTAACCCTACCCTAACCCTAACCCAGCAATGTAGGGAAAAGTTAAAAAAAACTGAAAAGTGACTACAGAGCTGCAAAGGACCACAACTGCCGCAGTGGTTCAAATCGAAAAAGCTGGAAGTGGAACGAACAGATGGACGGCCATAGACCGGCGAGCAATGGGAGGGAGGGTAGACTTGACTCGGCCACCAGTTTGTTGGAGTCGCTGATGGAGGATGGTAAGTGTTTTAAGTTTACATTACATAATTTGTAGGTGCACTCTGCTTGAGAGTTTTGTTTTCTGTAGGCTGGCTTTTGGAAAGCTGAAGTTCACTTATAACAACCTTCCATAGAGCGATGGCCACTCTCTACTTTAGAGGAACACACTTGCAGAAGCTTGTGTCTTGTCTCTCCATCACTGGACGCAGTTTGTTGTACAGATATATGAATGTTTCTTCCGAGTTCTGAACCCACTGCACGTTTGTGAAACCAGGAACAATAACATTCCACCACTTAGCTCGGTTAGTACGTAATACTGGTAGCTATAAAGTTGATTACATACTTTGTATATAGTATAGTATTTGCACATATGCAAACGCTAGCACAACTTACCCTCTTGTGTCGGCTTTGAACAACTGGTCCGTCTCGTAGTCTGAACTCTGTAACAATTCCCAAACTCTCCTGTTTTTTTCAGCAGTGTTTCGTTTTGCTGCCCTCAGCCTCTCATGAAACAATGTTTGTCTACTTGCTGTGAGAAACAGCCACATCCCGAAGATCAAATACAGCATACACTCGATTTCCTCCATTGTCCTGTGTGTATGTGGGTAGCTGATATGTGTCGCGTATAAGATTACGTCACGGCAGTGTCCTGCGTCGTCGCTAAGATGACGGGGTACTGTTAGTGGTGGTACTCTCTCCAATGGAAAACGAAGCGAAAAGCGAGTCGAGTCGAGCCGAGCTGCAAAAGCTTCATTGGCTCCTTTAAGGAAGCGGATGACCAGATCGTTCTTCCCCAGTGACTGGCTAGTCACGGGTTTAGTAAATGCTGCTACAGCAACCCGGTCTCACCCCAAGACGTCATATAACTGACGTTTTGGGACGTCTTTTGACCATACGTCAATATTCGCCTTTTTAGGGCCCCCTTAAACGTCGGTAGATGAGGTTATGGGATCCTAACTCTACCCCATACCTAAACCTAACCCTAAACCTAACCCGTCACCTAACTGACGTTAAAGGTAAAGCGTCAGTTGTATGACGGCCCGGGATCGCCATCTACCGACGTTTAAGGGGGCCCTAAAAAGGCTGATATTGACGTATGGTCAAAATACGTCCCAAAACGTCAGTTATATGACTTTTTGGGATGAGACTGTGTTAGCTACAGCCACCTCATAAACTTTGAGCATGGATGGGGTTCTGCCTTTTTCCAGTAGCTCTCGAAGGAAGGAGATAACTTCCGTAAACGCGCAGTCTAGCCTCGGGCTTTGCACCATCCAGAAAATACAGACATTTTGAGGAGTACAGTTGTCTAGTAGATGGTGCTCTAGCCTGAGTGATCGTGTTTAACACTCCCTCCGGGAGGTTTGCGGGTACTCGTTGATTGCCCATGTGAGCAGGGACCACATCTATGGGCGAGGATGCCAAGTCAAGCCCTTGGCCTGAGACAGGAGGTCTTTCCTCGTCGGTATTGGCCATGTGGCAGTGCTTGTCAGCTGCATCAGAACTGGAAACAAAGCCTGTTTTTTTTCCAGAGCGGAGCCACAAGTAGCACTGAGCATCTGTTTTCTCTGATTCATTCCAATACCTGAGGCAGGAGCGAGACAGGGGGATCTTAGGCCCTGCCGAATGTCTCCCACTGCAATAGGACCGTCTGCAGGTGCGGAGACCAGTCTACTGCTGGAACATTGTTTCTGGACAGTCTGTCTTGTCCCAAAGTCAGGTGACCAGTCACATACGCTGCTCTCAATGAGCACAGATTGTGCTGAGCCCAGACCAGGAGGTGTTCCGTCAGCCTGTAAAGGTTTTGGGACCTGACGCTACCCTGGCGATTTCTGTAGGCCACCACTGACATGTTGTCCAAGCAGACCAAGACGTGGTGACCTTTTATTCAGGGACAAAATGCATTGTCAACTGCCATCATTTCTAGACAGTTTATGTGTAGGAGCTTCTCCCGTTCTGACCACTGGCTAAAGAACGGTCTACCCTCGAGCAGCGCTCCCCATCCCAAGGTGGAGGCATCCGTGGACACCACTTTCACACTCGAGAAAGTCCCCAGGTATACAGCTGACTGGTACTGTACCAGTCGATTGCTTTCCAAGGTTTCAGTGCTGTGACACATTTCTGATCGATTTTGAGGTGAAACAGACTGGAGGTTCGAGGTGGTACTCATGCTGTTAGCCATAACTGCAGCGAGCGCATGTGAAGCAGACCCAACTGGAATACTGATGATGCTGAGGCCATGAGATCCAGCATTTTTCTGAAACCTTTTGAGCGGGACTATAGTGCGGTAGTGGAAGGATTTTGTGATGCGCTGAATGTTCAGTCTGCGCTCATAGACAGCGAATTCAGTTCTGTGCCCAGAAAATATATTTTCTGACTGGGAGACAGCGAAGTTTTTGCCCAATTGACTTTTTGACCTAGATTCTCGAGATGTTCGAGTAATATGGTCCTGTTTTCTATGATCTCTGAGTGTGATCGAGCAAGAATCAACCAATCGTCCAAGTAGTCTTATGCACCGAAGTTTCAGGGGTGTGAGAGCCGCGTCCACGCACATTGTAAATGTACGGAGTGCTAGAGGCAGGCCGAACGGTAGGACTGTGAATTGATATGCCTGGTCCTCGAAGGCGAAGTGCAAGAATCTCCTGTGACGTGATGCTATTTGTATTTGGAAATATGCGTCCTTCAGATCTATTGACATAAACCAGTCCCCTTGGCAAATTTGCATGAGTATTTTCCTGGTTGTGAGTATTCTGAACTAGCGTTTCACAAGCACTTTGTTCAGCTGTCTTAGATCTAGTCTGAGACCCCCGTCTTTTTTCGGTACCAGAAAATTTCTGCTGGATATGCTCCCTTCGCTCTGAGCTTGAGATAAAGGCTCTATTGCCCCTTTGCTCAATAGTTTCACTATTTCGGCTCGAAGTAGATGAGCTACTTCGGTTTTTACCATAGTTTTGACCTTTGGTGTGTGTAGCGGCGGGAATGTCAAGCGAACTGTCAATCACGGCGGGCAGCCTGGCCGTGCGCGCTCGATTCTCTTATAGCAGTTTTCAGAGAGTGAGAGAGCGGGGTGAGCCCCGTGGGGCTTAACATGTCTGTGAGTGAATGTGGGCGCGGGACAGCAGGCACATTTAGTGCACTAAAAACATTGTTGGCCTAAGCTGACTGTATGTGTGTTGGTTTCGTTTCTACAGAAACCGTGGGACATGCAGTGTGTAGTGTTTGTGTAATACACTATAACAGGCGGAAGTGCAGACTCTGAGAAAAAATGCCAGGCGAGTACTCAGAGTCACCATGACAACAGCTCGCAATGATCGCAGCCACCGTCAGCGAGCGCTTGAGATGCATGATCCTTAACCAGGCAGGAAACGCAGATGAAATGGCGGTCCCCGTCGCTGAGTGCAGCTCGGCACGAGCCCCAATAACGAGGCATCTTTAAAAAGACGCTTCTCTTTTAGATAGAGAGAGAGTGACGAAAACACCTCAAACACACACTAAGGATATAGTTGATTTGATTGACAGAGTAAAAGGATATAGATGGCGGAAAACGTAGCAGGTACGGTGACTGAAGGCAGCGAGATGAAGGCCAGCGGCTTCAGATGCAGAGGCTCGTCCCGCAGAAAGCTTTTTCTGTGCGGCTTCTTCACTCCGGATCCATGCGTGAGCTTTGCTGAAAAGCTGAAAAATCAGATTATATCAGCCTATCGAGCTATATTTATAGGCCCAGGCCACGCCTGGTTTGACGCAAGGTGACGTATTGGGCGCAAAGCATTGGGCGCTCTCTCGATAGGCTGCTGCAGTTGATGCAGGTCAGCCAATAGGCACGTTAGCTAAAAGATAATTTTTGGCCTCAATATCTTGTGGAAAAAAGGTTTTTCCCTAGCTTAAGATATTACGCAGTCCGAGAGAACTGGTTAGGTTTAGGGTATGGTTAAATATAGGTAAAACTATAGGTAAAACTAAATATAGGTAAAACTATTTATATATATATATATATATATATATATTTTTTTTTTTTTTTTTTTTGAGCCTAGTTAAAAGTCCCTCAGGTTTAATTAAAAATTATTTTATGAATTATGGGATTTTTGGACAAACTATCACTTTAAGGCTACTTATTTCACCTTATTTTATAGACACCTTTGCCTATACATGGTCGAGACATTTATTTTTCCCTTTTAATTTGAAATTGCTAAAAATATGAGATTAAATGAACTGCAAGCCATTGAGAATCATGAAAAGAAGCCTTTCTTTGTGTCTTGCAGCAGTATGAAGAACATGTGCTCCATAGGAATCAAGAGCATCTGGCAGTTCTGCTCACTTCATTAATTAACTTTCCATTGATCTGACATTCTGTGCTTTCAAGTCATTGTTTTGTGCACACTGTTTGCGGTGTCTTTCCTTTGCCACGGTCAAGTTCAGCATCACCATGGTTACAGAACTTATATGGACACGAATGCATTCAGCTGTTCAAAACTGACATTTAAATCAGATCCTGTGACCCTAATATATGTATAACTTATTATACATATATAAAATATCTCATACAATATTTTTTAAATCATATTATGGTTAAAAATAAAGTTGCATGCGTTTGTTGACACAGGCGAAAATTTAGTCCAGTTGGCGTCATATTCCTGTCCCACCAAACTTTCAACCACCTGCAAAAACTTCTAATGAAACCATCACCAGTCGGGGAGAGTTTATTAGGGAGGGGAGGAATGGGGGGGATGTTAACACAGATGTCCAAATAAGAGTGTGAATGATTCATTCTGCCGAGATTAGCCTCCGTCTCCAACAGCAACTTTCCCAGGACTCAGGAACTCTCTGCCTTTCAGTGCAGCACACAGGATTGTCATCAGAAATTGATTTTCCTCCTGAAAGACAAATTGAATCGTATATGAAATACAACAGAAAGAACAAGAAAGTGCCTGTGTCCACGTCCTGTCTCCCCCTCATGCCTCATTCCCAGTATACCTCTCACCTCCTCTCGCGCCCTTGTTCCTTTCTGTCCATCCCCCTCGTCTCTTGTATCTAAGTGATCTGGAGTGTTCAAACCTAAATTAAGATCTGGAGCGAGATACACGGTTCCCATAGCTACCCCTCAAACAGTGTTGTGATTGCATTATAATCCGACAGTAATCAAATCTAAATGAAACCGGGATGATAAGGATGCTATTTTCAGTTAGTGTTTGTGAGAGCGAGAGTGTACATTGCCTTTTCACTTTGTGCTTTTTCCCTTTTTATTACCTTCCAATCAGCTCAGCCTCGCAGCGGCTTTTTTCATTACTTTGGGCCATTGTTTTGGACAAACACAGTTGTAATGAGCTGTAAGAAGAGGAGATTAGCCTGGTCAAATGATACGGTCTGACTGAAGGGATTTCACACACAAACACACACCAAACACACCACATCCTATGAAATCCAACTCTTCTAACTAAAATTGAGCCATATTAACCATATATTTCCTATTGGCATCAAGAAAAAAATCGGGATTTGTGAGAATATAACATTTTAAATGCATCTCTGATGTTTTTAAGGATGGCAAAAGAATAATGAGAGGGTTGATATGTTTGATTTTCTAAATATTTGACCACATATTCTGTCCAAGTTCACTGAAAATTAATTTAAACTGTTAAAAAGTGTGAAGTGTTGCTCATCATTGTGTAGTTAGTCATTGCCTTTACTGTAGGCAGACAGCGGTATCAGTTTTATGGATTCATCCCTAGCCCGACCTTGAATGAGCTACCTTGTAACTGGAGTCTTTTGTGCTCAGACTGCATTGTTTCTCATGAATTCATTTGTCCAAACCATTTATGAGTATTTATCTCATCAACTCTGTCCTTTCTTTCTCTGCTGTGTTGTCCAGTGGAAATAAAACTTGGACAAAATGTGAAGTACACATTTAACATTTTACAAGTGCCGGGCTTAGTCATTGTTACAGTCTGCATTAGAAATCGCATGCTTCCCAAGAGAGCAAAAAATGTATGAATGGCACTGATTCAATGTACAGTAACTGATACTGGTATGTCACATGGTAATGACAGCATTGAACATTTAACATACTTTTTTTAGCGGTCACAAAGAACTTATTAAATAAGTACTCTCTCACAAATGGCACCCTAAACGCTTGCTGTCTTCCTACGAGTCCGCAACTTTCGTAACAGGCTCAGCAAAAGTGCACATCGAGGGCACATATCTACCGTAAAGCGGGGCGTTCACGATAGGGCCCTTCTGAAACCTAAAATAACAAATGACACACGACTATGGCCTCATGACCTAACGGACATGCGCGAGAAAGTGAATATGTGCCATTTGGGAAAGGGCCTATGCTTATGTGTCACTGGCTTTTCTTCAGGCCAGTTATTTTGGACTTGATGCTGACACCTACTGGCATGGATGTATGAAGTTTGTTCATTAACTGCTGCCTTTGCCTTTTTTTTTTGTTTGTTTCTTTTGGTTTGTTTTTCTCAAACTACATGAGCATTCTTAGATTTAATCTTAACAAAGTATGTGCTTATACTTGTTGATTACTCACATTCTTATTCATGCTGTCACACACTGTTGGTTCTTATTCCATTTTGTGCCTGTAATATACTGTGGTCAATAATATGTTTATTTATATATTTAAATTTATAAGTTTATTCAGAAGCATTACATTTATCAAAAGGGAAAGTAAAGACTTATACATTTAAAATGTTTAAAAATGCAAACAAATGCTGTTCTCTTGATGAACATTTCATTAAAGAATGCTGAACAGCTGTTTTCAACTGTGATATGACAATGATATGAAATGTTTGAGCAGAAAATCAGCATATTAGAATCATGTGGCGATGAACTTGAAGAGGCTCCATTACAGGCTTCTGAAAATTCAGCTTTGAAATCACAAGAATAAATTACATTTTTTAATATTTTTAAACAGTTCACATTAAATTGTACAAAACTTTGACATTATTATAGTTTTTACTGTACTTTTAATCAAATAAATTCGGCTTTGGTGATCATATTAGACAAAAACATTAAAAAAAACCTGTAACCACTCCAAACTTTTGAATCATTTTTTTTTTAATAAATCTTTTTTTTTTTTTTTAATTACTGGTTGCACTTGAGCAACATGGTAGTACTGACTCTGAAATAACAGAAAGGGCTTTTTATTTATTTATTTATTTATTTTGCGAATATGAGCTAGTGATTTATGGACTAATGTGTGAGTGACTCAGCAAGTCCGGTTCTGTTCGTTTGACATGTCTGCAGGTTGTGTGCATGAGTGGGAGAGGAATCCCGCCAAGCAAACACCCTTAGGCAGTCAAGGAACAAACAAGGCTGGTGTGTGTGAGGGGCGCCCTAATGTCCATCATCCTAGTGAAATTATCCCTCCTGTTGCACCCACTGATCTAGACACATACGCATGCAGCTAAACCCCCTCACCCCACATGCACACACAATGAGACAATACCCTCTTTCATACTGTCCTCATTTTAATCAGCATTAGAGAACTGGGGAAATCACATTTTCTCATCTTTTCCTGAGGTAGAAGCCCCTTAATGACAGAAAGAATGGTAATTAGAGTGGATGAGAGGAGAGGCCTGTTGAAGATGTCTTACATGAAAAGCAAGAGAACAGCCATGGATATTACTTGTGACTTGATACTTTGAGCTTGTTTTAGGTTATTTTTAAACCCTAATGTTTAGTCGAGATTGACTTTGTGTTTATGTAAAAAGTACTTCCTGGATATATATTAAAATGATTTAAAACATTTAAAATCATTTTCATTTATTTTAAATGTATGTAATAATTTTTCAGTTTGACCCCAAAACACGTAGAAAAAAAAATAATAATATAGGAAATAACTTACTGGAGTGAATTGCTATAAAGTGTACACCAATCAGACAATATGCAAAATAAAATAAAGAAAATGTATACAGTAACCCGATGCATTAAATAATTATTATTATTATTTTTGTTTTTAGAAATTTAAAGGTTTTACAAATTTTATTCTCCTTTTCTATTACCAGTTTATTTTATTTGAATTTTATTTAACTTTAAAAAATGAAATACTACATAATACAATACAATTCACTTCAAATTATACTGAGCTAAACTATAATTCATTGATTCATTGATTGATTCATTGAATCATTCATTCATTCATCATATTTCAGATTGACATCTTTCTGCACCAGTCTATAAATAAATATTATGGGAAATGAACATAAGCAAAATATAATGTCTACAGTAAGTAAGACTTTAAACCAAGTTAACCCTGCTGATCTACAAGCTTTAGCGTTTTTTTTTCTCTTCTAAAAAGCTGTGAAATATTCTGATTCTTGCAGGTATGAGCTGCAAAACATTTTATAAAGGAAGTCCGTGTAAATAAAAGGATAAAAGCAGTCCTTGAATGAAGTGGGGCTACTGCCAAGTGAAATATGCTCCCAATTACTGCAATGGCTGTAGAGGCCTAATAAAGTGAACGTCTCTACAAGACGCTGGGCTATAATGGAGCCGGGCTAATTTGCTTTGACTGATGAATTTTCGTCTCCCGTCGCGCTGGGTTGAATAATTATGAAATTTATCACAAGACATAGCGACTCATTAAGGATTAGCGAGCTTTCATTAGAGTGATGTTGTTCGAGGGCCGTGGCTGTTCTGATCAGCATAATTATGGGGCCTACAGAGGGAGGGCCATGCAGGCAATGTGTCTTTGTGTGTGTGGTCAAGAGGACATTAAATAGCAGCACCCATACAGCACTGTATGCTCTATAGAAAGATAAACAGAATTCTGCTAACATCTCACCACAATGATCATTTTATTTCATTCTGATCCCATTGGGTAGCATTGCTTGTGACCACCTCTTGTATGAGCTTCACTGACTCATTTTTTACAGTTTTTTTTTTTTTTTTTTTTGCACAGTAAAAATCTTCGGATAAATGTGAGTTACAGTACTTTACCACATAAAGTGAACAATAGTAAATGGTTTAAAAATCAAGGAATATGTATATTTACAGTAAAATACTATCAAGGTTATGGTTCTTGCTAGTTAAAAACTAAGAATATATAATTTACTGTACAAAAAAATGTAAAAGGACATTATAGCCTACTCCCTGCGTGACAGACCACATCATTATATTTTATTTATTAGTTTATTTTTCTCATTTTTGTTATTATTATTTATAACGGTATTACGTTATTTTAGTGTCATGTGTGTTACCCTGATGGTGTCTTTGTGTGTATGACCCTGTTAAGGATCTCCCAGGCTCCACTGTAAGCCAATCACAGCGATCTCAATAACCAGAGTACTGATCGCCTGCAGTTTATTCCCTCACCAATCCCTCTGTATAAAAGGATGAGTATCTCGGATCGTTGATTTCCTTTTAAATGAGCACCAACAGTCACTCCTTCCGGATTATCAGTCACTTCTTCTTCATCACCAGTAGTCGCCAGTACAGTGGCCAACCCAGTGGAGGATTGCAATGGATTTCTACTTTAGTACTTGCTGGCCCTTGAGGTGCAGTTGCATCTTTCACCAACAAACAAGTCAAGATTGCCTTCATTTCCCTACTGACAGGACGAGTGCTCCATTGAGCCCAAACGATATGAGATCAAGCTGGAGCAGTCATGTAGACACTGGGTAACTTCACCACCCATTTCCCAGAGGTTTTTGGTCAAGGAGAAATGCTTGTAACTGAATGACCTTAAGTTCAGAACCCCAGATGGACAAGAGCAATGTTGACAGTATGCAATTGGTCCATACCATCAACTATCAAAGAACTCAATTCAAGTATCAAAGAACTCGATTCAACTATCAAAGAACTCGAACAACGATTCCTATTTGCAAACTTCTATCAACGTTTCATACAGAACTTCAGCTCCATCATTAGTCCACTGACTGATCTCCTCAAGAATAGGCCCAAGTCTCTGACCATTTCTCAATATGCGTTCTTGTCTGTGCTTGTGTTCTTGTGGACTTGTGAAACGTCATCAGTCACTGCCCAAGTACTTTTCCAATTCAAAGTTCACATCTACCCAAATCCCCGGATGTGTTCTTGATCCGCCACGTTTACAGAGGATGCATCGAGACATGACTTGTGCGAACTAGAGACAGCCAGGTATCCCAGAATGCATCTCACACCAACCAGCAAGTGTCAATAGCAGAGGAAAAAACCTGCGTTATATCAAAATACTACTGTTATTGTGTCATGAAATGTAATTTTAAGAGTGTTTCAGGCGAGAATGTAGTTGTTTAAGGGTGCTTTCACACCTGCCTCATTTAGTTTGGTTGAATCGCACTAGAGTTCATTTTCCCTCTTGGTGCGGTTCGTTTAGGCAGGTGTGAAGGCAGCAATCGCACTCGGGTGCGCACCAAAAGCGGACCAAACAAGCGTACCACGGTATGCTTTCAAACGAACTCTGGAGCGGTCCGTTTGTGGTGAGAACATGATCCGAACTCAAACAGACCCAACTGCCAAATAACTGCGCATTTTTGGACTAAACCAGCTGCCGTAGTAAAACAAATTTATTGTTTATATAGCCATAGCGCTCCCTTTAAGCCATGACTGACTTACCACGTTCTGCATTCTCACTAAAACACTCATCATAAACACTGAAGTTGTCCGCACAGTGAATCTCTTAATTATATCGCGTCTATACTTTGTTTTTTATGAGGGGATTTGCGAAAGGATAAATCTCGTGCTGATTCTGAACATACATTGTGAGTGAATTCTCTGCATGTCAGCCGGATTTTGCTCGATCCTCTTTGTTTACTTCTGTTGGAATTTTCACGAACGTTAATTCTGACCGATCGAAGTACAGTTATGAAAATATGTTCAAGACATATCTGGCCAACGGGTATTGTGGATGTTGTCACGTGACTATATTTTGGTTCATTTCATCAACTCATCAACTGATGTGATGTGAAAACGAACCAAAACCCCTGAAAAATGCCACAAAGTATAATTTTATCGCCCTTGGTCCAAACCAAATGAACCGAACTGATGTGAAAGCACCCTAAAGCTCAAATCTGTGGTTTATTTATAAAGACAGCGCCTATTTGAAAAATGTATCTGACGTTTACGGAGCTGTGACATCCAGGTGTTCACCGGGCGTTCAGTGCTCGTCAACCCCGACTGGAACAGCTTTGGATAAGTGGATAAACTGGACGTATAATTCGTCTTGTGTACAAGTCTATCTGTGGTCTCATTAAACTATAGTTTGTTCCATGGCAAAAAATAAATAAAAATAAAATAGTTTTGGCTGTGGGCAAAGTGAAGTTTCATAACTTTATATG